ACTTCACTATTCTCCTACATTTGGTTAAGGTGTATTGTGGTCCAATCCTGGCTCTGAAATAATCAAAATTATTTCAAAATAATCAGACTGACTTATGAAATCATTCCTGGCTCCATGCTTCTGTGCTCAGGCAGCAAAATCACTATTGATTTCTGATTGGAAGTCTTTGCATAATTATAGGTTTGCCCCACCATGCCCTTGCAGTAACTCTTAACAATTACTGGAAGGAGAGAAAGGCAGAGGGCATTTGTATTTATGTGTGTCTGTAAAGGTGTGTGTATAATTATAGCAACCAAATTCACTTAGCCTTTTAAAGGTCCACAGTCTCTCGTCTGTGTTGTGGCAAATGGTTCACGCTTATAGTATTCTGTAGTCGTGTGACCCTGATTTTCAGTGGTTTTTGCCAGTTGCCTAGTTTCCAGCAAAAAACAGCCATTTGCTAAAATGGCACTTAACAACAGCTGCAAAAAAGATTATAAACTGAAGAACGATCACTATTGACCTGCCTAACAACTGCAGGGACTTATGGGTTAGTTATGATTCTAAATTGTAATTAGATACTATCCATGATCAGTATCTATATCAGTATCTATATTTGCAGCACATAGTCCTGTAAGAAGTTTGGGTTTGGGTTTGGGCCAGCATAATGATTTCACTTGGAGGAAGATGCTGGAGCTCCAAGTTGAACTCTTGCAACAAGTCATATTTTAGGACACAGATTTTTGGTCAATGTCACAACGTATGGCTTACAAAAGCCACTTTCCAAAGGCTTAAGTCATTCGAAAGCCAGGAATCTTGGTTCTTTTGTTTGTATGTATGAGAGTCAGTTTTGGTGTGGTGACATCAGACTAGAAACTGAGAAGCTGCGAGTTCTAGTCCTGCTTTAGGCCCAAAGCCAGTTGAACCTTGTGTTGGTCCATTAATGGACAGCCTATGACATTGTCTCACAGGTGACATGCCATGCTATTTTTAGTGACACACCAGGCTTACAGGCCCTCTGAAAGTCATGCAAGTGGATCCTGTTATGGGGCAGCCTCTGGAGCCTCCAAATATCGTGCAAGAACAGAGTGTTCTTTTCTGTTCTCTTTGGATGCTGCAAAGCTATACCAGAGGGTTCCACAAAGTTTCCTGACCTCATGCAACCTGGACTTGGCTCAAATAGGCATTTCAAAAAAAATATAATAATTGACAATTATGTAAGTTTTTATTAGGGATGTGGTGGCTCAGTGGCTAAGACGCTGAGCTTGTCGATCAGAAAGGTCGGCAGCTCAGCGGTCTGAATCCCTAGCACCACGTAACGGAGTGAGCTCCCGTTACTTGTCCCAGTTTCTGCCAACCTAGCAGTTTGAAAGCATGTAAAAATGCAAGTAAAATAGGAACTATTTTGGTAGGAAGGTGACAGCATTCCGTATGCCTTTGGCATTTAGTCATGCTGGCCACATGACCATGGAGACATCTTTGGACAGTACTGGCTTTTTAGCTTTGTAACAGAGATGAACACTGCCCCCTATAGCTGGAAATGACTAGCACGTATGTGCGAGGAGAACCTTTACCTTTAAGTTTTTATTTATTAGTACATTAAAGAAATTTAATTTATGACTATGTCATAAATTGGTGTGTGTGTGTGTGTGTGTGTGTGTGTGTGTGTGTGCAACAAGCCAGTAGAATTAAGTTAGACATTTTCTGAATTTTTGACACAACAAGCCCTCCAAGATTCGCCATCATTGGGCGAGTCATTTTCTCTCAGTCCTAGGAAGGAGTCAATGGCAAACCACTTCTGGAAAACCTTGCCAAGAAAACTGCAGGGATTTGTCCAGGAAGTCTCTTCAAAAATCGAACACAGCTGGACAAAAAAAAATGTATATATTTCTTTTAACATGGCAATTCTCTGCCATTTTTTCAGCTGCTTGGGTAACATTCTGTTGGACACCATCTTGGAGAAGGTAGCTGGAAACCATTTGAACAGGTGAAACAAATAAATGAATGCCTCAAGTTCAATTCCTGATATTTCCATTTGAAATATATAGGAGAACTGCAAAAGGCCTCAAGTCTTGGTCAAACCCAGATACCAGGAACTGCTACACAGCAGATAAGCCATCTAGCCTGGTAGTTTACTCAGATTGTAAATTGCTACCTTTCATATCTTTTGCTCCCTGATTCTTTTCAGCAACAATTTAGCTTGACTCTTTCTGCAAGCAAAACATGCTACTGAGGGAAAGAAATATTGAGGCCAGAAACCAGCTTCATAGCTACATTAATACTGAACAATTCATCATATCCTTGAGAATATTCCAGAACGGACAGATGTGTATATTTTAAGAAGAGGAGAAATCTCTTTCTCTCTTTCTCTCTCTCCCAGAGTTCTGTTTACACAAAGGTAAATCTGATGTACCATACAGTGTCAACCCTTAGAGCATTACAGCACCAAGATCAGATTGTTCAGTGTGTCTCAGCTGTTTCGTATGCAGTTGACCTTGAAGGATTACATTGTGTCAAACAGACATACAGATCTCTGTAACATTGACGTGCAAATGGTCTTTGATAAAAAAAAATGATGCATGCATTTCAACATCAATAACTCTGGGAACATCCATTTGATTTTTTAAAAAATAAGCTCAATCTCGATTCCAAAAGATTAGAACATGATTAGAGTAACTAGGGCCAGATTTTCAATTTAGCCACATATTGTCTTAAGCAGAGCAAGGGCACCCAGCCTTTGCAACTTCTAAACCATAGTTTATAAGCTGGTTCCAACTGGCCTGTTAAATAAACCCATTGTAGTTTGTTCTGAAATCATGGCTAAGGAAATATTTCATACATATGAACTTCATGGTTAATTTAAGCTTGATACACTGAATTACAACTTCTTATATCCATCAGCCCTGCCTAAAATTGCAAAATGTGTCCCACTTATCCATGCTTAACTGAACCACACTGTACTCATTTAATATCCATACCCACATGTATCGGTTCACATGACATACTGAACTTAAGCTAGCTATATAAGCTAGGTGACATGAGCTTGGATGGTTTCTGGTTTAGCATTTAGTGAGAGCCCAGCCAACATGCTACTGTATGAGCTATAATATGGATTGTTTGGGCATAGCATGTTGTGTAACACTGTGCATTAGTAACCTAGGCTTACTGATTACTGGGTGTGAATCCAGAAAATGTATTATGCACACTGAGTTGCTGCCAGTCAGTGTAGGAAAGTAGCTCATGGAGATCTAAAGGTAGATTTCTAGCCCAGGTGATCAACAAGGATTTCAACTTCCATAATACCAGAACAGTTGCAACATCCTGCATCTCATTACTGAATTATGCAAATCTGAGGAATTTGATGTGGACATTTACTAGCTGGTTAACTCAACTGTTCACATAACAGATGAAACCATAAATTAATCACATTAGCTTTTGCTACAAATCAACCAAGCACATTTGGGCTGATGTGTGTGTGGTTGGCTGAGGGTTTAGTATGCCATGAGAACTCAGTGATTGAGTAAATCATAGCTAAGGAAGTAAACACAGCCATGATTTACCCAGTCATAATCTAGCCACTGTGAGTTATGCTCATTGACTGATTCCAAAAACAAGTTGAAGTGCAGCATATTTTGGTAATACGTGACTCTTCTATTTCAGGGGTCCTAGGAATCTAGTAATAAAATAGTTTCCCAAATAGATCCACTACTAAGGCAATGAAATGAATGCTATGGCAGGAGATCAAACCAGAATGTAGCAATTCTTAAGGCCCCATTCCAGTTACAAGGAGGAGCTGTTCCTGCATTGAGGCTTCTGCAGAAGCCAAGAATCTATGATAAATGAATGCTCTGGGAAAATGTACGATTAAATCAATTATCTCCACTCCACAATAACATGCGTGTCATGTGGCTGCAATAGCCAGAAAATGGGGAGCCACCCACCTTCTTTCAGGAGAAGTGCAAAGGGGAGCATGCCAAGGTTCATGCAATTTCATTTCACCCCTTTGGTCAAAATGGACACTACAGCCAGGCTGACCCTTCAAGCAGATGCAAACTCAGTTTTGCATCCAAGTCTACAAAGCATTGCAAGAGTGTAGCTCTTCGCATTTAGTGTCCTCTCTTAGCATTTAGCAGCCACATGCAAAGACCACCCAATTAATCCTTGGAGAAAACTGATCTTTCCACCTATGCATTTCTTTCAAGTTATAAGGATGCTAAAAAGGTAAAGGGTTCAAAAAATGGGGGCAAGCTAAGAGAAGGCTGCTTGGATGCCAGGGCAACGTTTTAAGGATGAGAAAATGTGGCAACCTATCAAATGCACACTAACCAACACACACACACACACACAATCTGCCTAGAAACATTCCCATGCTTTCCTCTCTAACTATAGGAGCAGCATTGCTGATTCTACAGTGGAAGGCAGCCAAAAAGGGGGGGGAAGGAGAGGGGGAAAAAAACCACTTCTGATGTGCAAGTGTGAAATTAACAGCGTTCCAAATGTGCAAACGGCGATCTCCAAAACAGCTCTCCCCTCAATCAACCTTCCACCCCGCTTCTTTCTTTCTTTCTTCCCTTCCTTCTTTCCACTTGCAGCTGAGAGATGCACCATTAAAAAGAGACAGCAAGAGACAGATCTTTCTCCCCTTTCCCAAACCCACCCACTCACCGACATCCCCCCCCCAGACGGGCGGGGGGGCTTTTCGCCCCGTTTTCATCCTAGTAAAACATCATCAATGAGCGCCTACATTCCTCCGCGTCCCACAAAAGGAGGAAAATAAACTACATTAATCTAGATTAATCTGGATTATTTCCCCAACCCCCACCACCACCCCTTTTTCCTGGCAACCAGCTACCCTTTTTTGCAAACTTAAGGCAATGCTCAAATCATAAAACGGGGAGGGGGGGGAGGAAGGAAACGGGCAGGGGCAGAAAGAATGAAGAGGAGGGGAAGGCTGTTCGGGTGGGTTTTAATCTCCCCCCACCCCCCACCCCTCCCCGCTCGCTCCGATTCGCCCCCCTTACCCTCAAGGCGGACAGATCTATCTCGTCCAAGCTCCGAGCCGGAGAATCACTCGCCATGTTTACGAGGGGGGCTACCTCCGCGCCCGTGGAGATGGCAGGAGCGCAAGACCAAGGTTACCGACGCCGTCGCCCGCCGGGCAGCCTCGCCAAGCTGTCCGTCTCTCGTACCGGTGGGGGGGGGGAGGACGGGCGGGGGAAAGGCGTCCTCAGGGCGCTTCGCTTCTCATGCGCTGAGACCGACGGAGGGAAGACCCCCCCCCTCACTCTCCCTTCCACCTTCCCCAAGAAAGGGCCAAGGGGAAAGCCGGCGAGCGCAACAGTGACCTCTCCAAACGGGCGCCCAGAAGAAGGAGAAGGGGGGGCGGGGGGGACCCGAGCCGCCTGAGGCGCGATGCCCAGATCTCGTGCGCCCCTGCCCGGCTCCGCGGTGTCAGAAAAGGAGGCGCGAGTTGCGTCGGCGGCGGATTTCCCTCAGGGACGCGAGTGCCTCGGCGGAGGCATGCCCGGCTCTCTCCTTCTTTTCCCCGGGCTGGCTTGGCTCAGCACCGGCGGCTTTCGGAGAAGGCGCGGAGCGTCACCTCGTCCACTTGCTCCGGAGAGAAGAGCCTCGCCGTCACGGCGGCTTCCTGGGAGGAGAAAGAGCCGCTCAAGGGGCGGCGCCTGGGCGCGCGTTGGAGAACCGGGCGGCGGCGGCGGCGGCGGCGGCGGAATCGCGGTCCGTGTGCTTGCCGCTAATTCGGTTCTCGGCTGGGGGATGGAGCGCGGCGCGCTTTCCCTTTAAACGCCTGGAAAAATCAGCCGGGTTGGAAGTGGAGCGGCAAGGAAAAGGAGGAAGGAAATAAAAGGCAGGCAAGCAAAGCAGCGCCGGCTGATCTTGCTGCCTGGTCTGGTCTGGTCTGGTGGAGCCGGCTGAGAAAAATCCTTGCCCAAAACGCAGCCCCGATCCTCTCCCGATCCTCAACCCAGATCGCGCCGGAAACAAGAATCCGAGTTGCAAGATCTGGGCAAAAATAAAATAAAATAAAATCTGGATTTGGAATTGAAAAGGCGGAGAGCATCCGAGATGGCTCCGAGGAAACGGCACTTTGCGCGGATACGAACTTCTGCTGAAACCCTTGCGGCTCAAATCAGCATAGGATGGCAAGCCTGACGGGTTTCACCGAGTGTGTGTGTGTCCCCTTCAGGGTAAACTCGGCCTTGGCCCGAGTCGCATTTCAGAGGGCCTTAAGTCTTTCTTTCTTTTTCACCTTCGTCCCGGGGAATTGCTTGGACTTGTGAGTTTGAACTGGAGATGGAGCGAAGAAAAGCCAACAGGAATGAATTCCGAAATAAGAACAAGACCTTTGAATCAGCCTCAAATACCGCCCCCCGCTTCTCTTTCTAATGTGCCCAATAGCACTCTGACTCCGTCTATTTGAATAAGAAATTGACCACGCCTTATTTTCAACTATTTTTTTTTAAGTGCTCCCTTTTGGTCGTTTTCTCTTCCTCTGCCAAACTACGAATTCAAATCTGAAAAACGAGCTTCGCCGGGTGACAAACCGTTTCAAATCCACCGTTAAAATTCTTGCCGGGTTGGGTGCGGTAGAAGATGGTTTTCTTTTGGCCTTAAGCTGTTAAAACCAAGGAAAACTAGCCAGGGATATAAGAACTACAGGCTCTGGCATTCACTACACTTTGCAGCAAGTGTATTTAGTTCTGCAAGAAGGTAACAGATAACAGATAATCAGAGTTGGAAGGGACCTTGTAGGTCATCTAGTCCAACCCCACACCCAAGCGGGAGACCCTACACCATTTCTGACAAATGACAGTTCAATCTCTTCTTGAAAGACTCAACTGATGGCACTCCCACAACTTCCAAGGGCAATCTGTTCCATTGGTTGATTGTTCTCACTGTCAGAAAATTTCTCCTTATTTCCAGGTTGAATCTCTCCTTGTTCAGTTTCTATGCATTATTCCTTGACTGTCGTAGAGTTATTCCTTGTCTGGCCTACAGAAGGAAAAAAACCAGGAACTGTGCCGGAAAACCCATCTAATTAACTTAGTCTTATGGTGGTCTGATGGAGAGGAAGAGTTATGTTTATAGTAGGAGTCAGATTTTTTTCCATAGGCTTTCTTGGCTATGAGTTCCTAAAATACCTGCTTTGTAGGTCAGGCATGCATATGTGCACACAAGCTATAGGCTTCGTTTAGGCTAGAGCACAGGTACCTAGTAAAGTCTTTTGGGAGAGATGGTCACCAAGAATATTGTGAGAGGGATCTTGGAGTCTTAATGGACAACAATTAAATATGAGCTAAGACTGTGCAGCGGCAGCCAAAAAAGCCAATGCAATCCAAAACTGCATTAACAGAATGATATAAACAAGATCAAGTGAGGTACTAATACCACTCTATAAAACCTTAGTAAGACCATACCTACAGTACTGCATCCAATTTTGGTCACCATACTATAAAAAAGATGTTGAGACTCTAGAAAGAGTGCAGAGAAGAGCAATCAAGATGATTAGGAGACTGGAGGCTAAAACATACAATGAGTGGTTGCAGGAACTGGGCATGGCTAGTCTAGTGAAGAGAAGGACCAGGGCAGACATGATAGCAGTCTTCCAATATTTCTTTCAAGTTTTTTTTTATTTCAATCTACACATACACAACAATACATTAATGGTGTGGCATCAATATATCATACATTTTAGTATAGGCAAGCTTTGCAGTGCTTCCAATATTTGAGGGGCTGCCACAGAGAGGAGGGGGGTCAAACTATTTTCCAAAGCATCTGAAGGCCAGAAAAGGAATAATGGATGGAAACTGAACAAGGAGAGATTCAACCTGGAAATAAGGAGAAATGTTTTGATAGTGAGAACAATCAACCAGTGGAACAGTTTGCCTCTGGATGTTTTGGGAGCTTTATCACTGGAAGCTTTTGAGAAGAGAGTGGACTGCCAAAAATGGTGTAGGGTCTCCTGCTTGGGCAGGAGGGTTGGACTAGATGACCTACAAGGTATCTTCCAACACTGTTAATCTGTATCTGTATCTACAGCCTTAGGCAGTATGGCTGAACTTGAATGGAAAGTGCCCCCTCCCCAACATCCATTTCCTTGTGTTCACACAACATATCCATGGTTAACCCACGTTTACTAAACAGAACTTATCTGGCTATGTATGATACACTGAATTACATGGACTGGATTCACATCATGCATGGCTAACTTGCAAATGCTTAGTGTGTCAGGCATATATGACTGTTCAGTGCAGCAAGACATAGTTCTGAATAAAGTGCATTAATTTAGTTTTCCAATGTTGCTGAATTGGCCAAGCTGGTTAAGGCTCCTAACATTTGTAATTCGGTGTCAGAAGAAACCTAAAGCCATACTTGTCTAGGTGACCTCATGTTACATTGTAACATCCTTGTGCAAATAGCAGAAAGAGAATGTTATTTTTTTATGTATTTATTTGTATCACGCCTTTGTTATTTTACAAATAACACAAAGTAGCAAATGCCTTCCTCTTCCTCTTTTCCCCACAACAATCACCCTGTGAAGCCAGCAGGACTGAGAGAGACACAACAAAGTCAAATATATGTGATGCCATGCTTCGTGCCAGATTCTTAGTAACTGGCTAGATTAACATAACAATGCTAAAGACATAAGTGAGTAAACTGCATCTTGGCTTAGCATGTTCAATGAACCCCCAGCTGTTGTGGGTTTATAAACCAAGGTATCCAGTAGACTATGTGATCCCTGCTCATTGTTATAAATCACGATCAAACAAGCCATTGGTTAACATACATATATACCAGGTAGTCCAGGGGTGTCAAACTCAAGGCCCAGGGGCCAGATCCGGCCTGCAGGGTACTTAGTTCTGGCCTGCAGGGCCGCCTTGGAAACCACAAAGGACTGGCCTGCTGTGCTTCTGCCAGTGAAAATGGGCTCCTGAGTTCCGGAGCTCGGGAGACTGTTTCCACTGGTAGAGCACTTGGGCCACCACAAGAGTGACATCAAGCTGGCTATGGCCACCCTGGCCACTCCCCGCCCAGCCCCTCCAGGTCAAACACAGCCCTGATGTGCAGGGGTGGGATTCAAATTTTTAACAACCGGTTCTGTGGGCATGGCTTAGGTGGTGGGCATGGCTTGGTGACTGGGTCATGTGACTGGGTGGTGGGCATGGCTTGGTGGTCATGTTATTGGCTGGGTGTGGCCAACTCAATATCGCTCACACTGAGGCACGCATCTCCTCGCCTGGCCTCTCATGACTGTGGGGATGCTGCAACAGTCGTAAGTATGAAAAATGGTCATAAGTCACTTTTTTCAGCACCATTGTAACTTTGAATGGTCACTCCACACAAGCAAAGTACCAGCAAAGGAAGGGAAAAAAACTCCAGAGTCCTGTCAAGAATGTAATAAGGGTTAATGGAAAGGCAGTTTCTGTAAGCAACACCAGAATGTTTCCTTCCTGCCTTCCTTACAGGATTAGGCCAGTAATTTCTTCTAACAACTGGTTCTTTAAACTGCTTAGAATGTTAACAACCGGTTCTAGCGAATAGGGGCGAACTGGTAGAATCCCACCTCTCCTGATGTGGCCTTCAATGAAATCGAGTTTGACAACCCTGAGATAGTCCTTGACTTACAACCATTTGTGTGGTAACCGTTCAAAGTTACAAAGGCACTGAAAAACGTGATTTATGACTATTTTTCACACTTAACAACCCATTGCAACATCCTCATGGCCATGCAATCAAAATTCAAACACTTTGCAATTGGTTCATAATAATGATGTTTGCAGTGTCCTGGGGTCATGTGATCACTTTTTGTGACCTTCTTACTAGCAAAATAAATTGCTAGTAAGCTGGATTCCCTCAACAACCATATTACTAACTTAACAATCAGAGCGATTCACTTAACACTGGCAAGAAAGCTCATTAACAACTGTCTTTCTTAGCAATAGGAATTTTAAGCTCAATTGTGGTTGCAAATTGAGGACTACCTGTACCCAGTCATAATACAAGTTTTCTGAATTTGGCTTTAGCTGAGAAACTACAGTAAATGTGTCTCTGGGACTCCCAGTGTTTTTGGCTGGGATGGTTGGGAAATATAGTTCAATTACAGTTGTTTTCCTCTCTTGCCTTATCTAGTTATCTTCAGCATGGGAATCCATTATGAGCACTTGTGTTTTACAACACCTAAAACAACAAGTCACAATTCTGAGAAGTTTGCCCTTTCATCTGAAAAATAGCCAATAGGGGGAAAACCCACTTCCTATTCTTTCATCAAAGAAACATTAGAGCAGTATTTCTTGACAACTCTTAAGACCTGTGGAC